GTTTCTGGTGTTTTTTTTTTTAATCAGATCCAAACCACCCAAAAGAGATGAAAGGAAAGGAAAAGGCGGAGTCCTTCCCCTAAACCCACCAAAGTGCACATTGGGAGGCTCACCAGGAATGTGACCAAGGTGAGGAATCTTGTTTCTGTCTGGTGGACAGTGGGATGTGTCTCTTTTTGCAAATTTTTGCAGTGGAATACTAGAGAAACAGGCCTCTGCCAGAAGGTGAACTTAGAAAGTAGCATTTCGAAGGGCTGAGTTGATGGTGTGTGTTTCTAGCAGAGCATGGGTTACTTCCTTTTAATGGAAAGTGTTATATATGTGTATTTAGGAGATTTACTGCCAAATGCCAGGGTGGTAGACATTATGTGGTGAATTCTACCTCCTACATAAGTCGTTGATGGGTGAGCATTAAGAGTGACCCTTCTTTCTCCCTAGGATCACATCATGGAGATATTCTCCACCTATGGGAAAATTAAAATGATTGACATGCCTGTAGAAAGGATGCACCCCCATCTATCTAAAGGCTATGCATATGTAGAGTTTGAGAATCCAGATGAGGCTGAGAAGGCGCTGAAGCATATGGACGGAGGTGAGTAAACCCTGCCAGCACTGCTGACCTCCCTTGTCCACTGTCCAAGACTAGCTGCCCACTACATATCGTGAGATTAGAACCAATTTCCAACCTGGCTGCAAGCAAGAATCTCCCTGGAGCTCTTTCAGGATTCCAGTTCTTGCTCAGTGGGTGTGTGTTTACCAAAAACATGTTTTATGGAGTACTATTCTTAAAAAAAAAATCATCAGATATGAATATATTAGCACTTTAAGAATATTTCAATTTGCTAAAAGCTTAAGGATCAAATGAATGGGTTTTTTTAATATAAAGAATAGATTATGGTGAAGCATGGCTTTTATATGGGAATGTTTTCTTTAATTCAGTCATTTTCTGTTCTGCTAACATTGCAGCATTTTTAGGAGAATTTTACTGAATTCACAGATTTTACCCATTTCCCAAAATCTTGTATCTTAACTGTATGACATTTATAGCTACTTTGTATTGGGCAAAATGGTTTTAACAACATTTGAACACTTGTGAATAGTTTTAAGGCCTTGTTATACACTCAGTAAATAGTTTGACAGTTTTGGGGGGGGGCGGTTGTTTGTTTTTTGTTTTTTGGATAATTGCCCTTGAACCCTGGTAGAATTTATATGCTAGGAAATTTTCCTTGATTCTTAGCTGCTAACCTTATTCAGTCTACTTAAATCCCTCTGGAGTGTTTCAGGAGTTCAGCATAAACTGTGATGCATCTCTGCACATATCAGGTCTTGGCCTTGTGAGTCACACCTTTGTTTTAGAGACTGTTGGTCATTATGTATTTGACAGTCTGAGCACTTGCTAAAGATTCAGGAGACTTGGGCATATTCAGAATTTGTGGGATTATAAATATTCCATGTTGTCTAAAGATTCTGGTAGGACTTTGATTGTTTTGTGTTTCCCCGTATTGTGCTGTGCACCACTGAATAGGACAGTTCCATGCTGTCTCCAGAAAGAAAGTAGAAGGACCTGGCCTTTGCTGGCAGCTGCCCAGAGGATGGCTTTGTCTTCATTGTTGCATTGTCAGTGCCCATGAAATTCCTAATTTGGACTGACTTTTGGCCATGGGCCGGGGGCCACCTTGGACTGTATTTACTTCAGTTAAGCCTTTTTGAGTATGTTCCGAAAATAGACCCAGATTCCTGAGTTACCTCTTCAGTACCTTTGAAGTTTCCTTGAAAGTAGGAGCTGAGAAGATAAAGGATCTCTCCACCCTTTGGGAGCACACAAGGGTTGTGCTTGGTCCCCTGAGCATTCCCTGGACTAAGGTCAAAGTGCACACTCCGCTAGGATTCTTGGGTCCCTGCCTTAGTTTCCTTTGCTCTTTCTCTCCCTGAGACCCTGCAGGCTCCTTGGGCCTCCGTGCTGAGCTGCCTCCCCTCGCTGTTCTGCAGTTTCATTCATGCATGTGATTTTAGTACTGGCTGCACACAGACTCACCTCCCTGAGGCACTTGTTTCAAACTCTCAAGACAGCTTTGACATCTTGTTTCATTTTGTTCCCCCATGCTAGAAGTCACTTCCTCCTCTCAGGCCCCACCTCAGGAAATCATAGTTTATCCAGAAACTTGGTGCTGATCATCCTTCAGCTAAGCCCTGGGCTCACTCACCTGATCTATCACCTAGCTCTGGTGAATGTACATTCCAGTTATTCCTTGAGTTCTTGGTTTCACCCCCATCAGTCCTGCCAAAGCCCCCGACAGGTCCTCCCTCTCCTCTTGCGGGCCCCTTTCCCACTGTTCTTAAGAAAATTCACGTGTGACACTACCTTTCAGCTCAAGGCAGAGCGGCACAACCCTTTCCCTCACAGAGCAAACTCTAGCATGTTCTTTAGGATGACACTTCCTCTGGGAGGCCATCCCAGTACATCAAGATAGAGTCCCCCATTAGGTTCCATACCCCCTCATAGTTTTTTGATGAAACCTCGAATAATAGTAATTGTGACGTTCTTCCTGTGACAATTGTAATTTGTCCTTGTTCCCCCTAGTCTCCCATCTGTCTTGCTCACCATGTCTGACATTGGGCCTAGCCCAGGGTAAGTGTTTGTTAGGTATTTTGTGACTATCCTTTTTTTGACAGGACAAATCGATGGCCAGGAGATCACTGCCACTGCTGTGCTGACCCCCTGGCCTAGGCCACCCCCCAGGCGATTCAGCCCTCCCAGGAGAATGCTACCACCACCTCCCATGTGGCGCCGGTCACCCCCACGGATGAGGAGAAGGTGAGTCATTTTGGGGTCTCATAGGGGACTGACTAATTGGGACCAGTCTTTGTTTATTTTATTTAGAAACGTAATGTGAGAACCATGAGTTTGGGACCTTTTTTTAGCCCCACCCGCCCCCTATACCTCATGCTGTGTATGGGGAAGCAGTACATGTGGCCTTTGGAGCTCATCCCATCCTTTTCAGCTGGGAAAAGGGAAGGAAGGATAGCTGCCTGATTGGGGGACCCGCAGGAGGTTCAGCTCATGCCGTGTTTGGCTGTCCTGTGCTAGTGGTGTTGAGCTGCACTTTGCACAGCCTTCGGAGAACAGGAGACAGCCTGGGGTTGTGCCTTTGTTCTCCAGAACATGTTTCTTTCCCAAGTGTTCCATATCAGTGCCATCCAAATGGAGCTGTCCTAGCTCAAGTGTTGAAGTGTGAAGCTGTGTACAGTCGTTCCTGAGGGAAAGCAGCTTTACCCCTGTAGTCTGAGATACAGAGCTGCTTCCGGGGCGTTTGCTTCGTGTCTGATGTGATCTCTCCTCTTCCTACAGGTCACGTTCCCCTCGGCGCAGGTCCCCCGTACGCCGGCGATCCCGCTCCCCCGGCCGCCGCCGCCACAGGAGCCGCTCCAGCTCCAACTCCTCCCGATAAGCAGGGCCACTGAAGCTCTGCCCCTGTGACTTATACCCATCCGACTCAGTTTTGTCACTTTTCTAGCTGAAAGGTGATCAGTAGGAAAGGAATCCCTCACTTGGGCAGGCTTTGAAGGCAAAGGCAGCAGTTGAGTTGTTTCCTCTGGCAGCGGAGTTCCAGCTGCAGCATTGTTGTTGGCTTGGAATTGTGCCTATGTGGATGCCCTCCAGTTTTCTGGCTAGAAAGCTCCCATGTTGTCAGTTTGGTGGCAGAGCCAGCAGGGATGAGCAGGGGGCTCCAGGTGGTACAGCCCCAGCCTGGGATCGTGTTTTTCATTCCACACATGTCCTGGGGACAACCTGGTGGCCTGGTGATGCCCTCATTTGTTGGCCTGCAGGCTCCCCCAGGAAAGGCTCTACCTTTTGCAGCTGCTGTTCCTGTTAGCCTGGCCCTGCTCCCCTGCTTGAGTCTTTTCTGACCCTGAGGATCAAATACCCTATTATTTGTCTAAAATGGTTCTTTTTACATGTGCTCATATGCGTGTGCACAAATACACATACACATCCCACGTCTCCCTTTCTCTCTGAAATTGGTGAGCAACTTGAGAGCCAGCTCTGCATTGTCATCACGGAACCCCCTGTTGTGCTGGTATTCATGGTGGTCCTGCAGGTTACCTTGGCAATGTGTACATTGCTTTTCTTGACTTTTATTGTACAGTCAGTACTATAAATTTTCTGTTTTGAGTTTTGTAACTTTGTAGCATTTTAGATAATGTTGTGTTTGTACTTTGTTGTGTAGAGTAAAAGGATTGTGTTGAATAAACCTAGGATTACAGTGCAGATGAGTGTTGGGTTCACTGCCACCTTCCTGTCTCTTGGCCCCAAAGATAGATTCAGGTGTGTGAGAATTAAAAGCACAGCTACCTAAAAAATGTTTTGGTTTCATTTCCAAACTCACACCTCCGGAACCTTTCAACCAGGAAAACAGAAGTGTACCTCAGTGTTGGGTTGCTCCTTATATGGACACACTTTAGAAAAAGGTATTTTATCACCTTTGAATTTCCAGGAACTTCCGATTCTGCCTGCCAGAAATGTGGATCTCATTTGCTTCCGTTATCTTAGGTGGCCATGGAAAAACTATTTTCCACTTCAAAAAGTAGTTTGTTCCCCAAGGAAGAATTGAAAATACTTAAGGTGTCACAGAACAAGTCTCCATCACCCACCAGTCGTACTTGGCCCTTCCTGTGTCCAGTGTTCAAACACAATGGTCAGAAATACGCTGTGGACTACTGGGCATCTCGGGCTTGCCATCCGTCCCACTGCCTGCAGGTAGTGTTTCTTCATGCACTTTCCAGCAGATACAAACACAGTGTCACTTTTCCCTTCCTTGTGGAGGAACACTGCAGTCCTTCCTACTGGTGGTGTGAAGGTGCTTCCTGCCCTCAGCCTTGCTGAAGAGGGTGCTGCCCGGCTTTTGTTCACTTGCTATTCTTACACGGAAGGTGCATGGTCTGTTCTTAGTCACCAGGCTGTGCTGCCCCCCAAGCCTATGGCTAAACTACCAGCTGTGATTCCTCTTCTCACAGTCAGGTGAGGCGGAGGTCACACTTGGCGGCGATGTCTGGGCTCCCATCTGGACCCCCTCTAGCATCCTTTGCAATGCCCATGCCTCTGCAGGGTGGCAGAGTTTGAGAATGGGCCTATTTTGATCTGGTTGCCTCAGCTATGAAAGCTGAGTGCAGGTAAGCAGCTGGTCAGGTCCTCAAAGTCCCCATGCCAACTCAGCTCACGACTCTGGGACTCAAACACCCCGTGACTTATGAGCAGCCACCCCCAGTCTCAGCAGTCTCCTGCCTAGGTGACTTGATCGTTGCCTGGGCGGTGGACAACATGGGAAGCTGCGCCGCGGGAGGAGGGGGAACACGGCGTCTGTTCTGCCCGGGCTCCCTGCCTGGCAACCCTTCACCCGCATCCCCAGGGCCCTGCTCAGTGAAGCCTGAGACTCGGGCCGGGCACTTTGGCCTCCTGGGGGCGGGGACGGTTTGCATCCAGGTGGACGGGTGGACAGACTCGGGCTGACTCCGGCCCCGCCCTCCCCCAGCAGTGAGGCCACACCCCGGCGCCGCGACCGACCGGGGCCGGAACAGTCAAGATGGCCCTGGCGGAAGCAATGCGCGTCCTGACGCGCATCCTCCTCTGCCCATGTGCGTGGCCCCGGTGTGGGATCGTGGGCCGGGGCTGGGACCCGGCGAGGGGCGGCGGGCTAAGTGGGCTTCGCGCGGCCCTTCGCAGGGGCTCTGCTCCGAGGCGCGGCAATCTGAGGGACTCGGCCGGTGGCCGGTGGCCGGTGGCGGGGACGGCGCGCGGCGCTTCGCGAGCCAGCGGGTGCTGGTGGAGCCGGACCCGTCTGCAGGTAAGCGACCCGGAACCCCGGCCTTCTGCACGCCGGGCTCGCCGAGCGCTGGAGCCGGTTTCCTGCCTGGACCGGTGTCAGGGCACCTGATTCAGTTCTCCTGTTCAGCCCCTCTCGTGGCCGCCGAAGGCAGGTGATGAGGGGCCCACGTTGGTCCCATTGACGAGTCCCATGAAAACCTGAGTTTCTGAAAGGATCATTTCTATGATAGATTTCGATAGACATGAAAAAATGCAAAAACAGATTTTAAAAGTGTTGGATGGTGATGATGGTTGCACGACGTTATGACTAAATACCACTGAGTTGTACACTTCAAAACGGTTGAAAGAGTAAACTTTGTTATGTAAGCAAGAAAAAAAATTACCGGCTAGATAATTTGTTACCAAAGTGCTTCCCCCTCACCAGGGAAGAATTCACTAGCTTTGCTGGCTTACGGTGGTGGGAGGTTAAGTTTGAGCTCAGAAAGCCAAATCTGCCTGGTTGTGTCCTCACTGCCAGACCCAGGTAGCCTTCAGGCATCTTGAGGCTTGGATGAATTAATGGACTAAAAGTGCTTTTTAAAAATGTTTTCATTTAGGGCTAAAGTCCTGTTACTGCAGCTGATGTAAGATGATGTTCAACATTCCATTCGAGAAACACTTATTTTATACCTACCCTGAGCCAGGGATGCAGTTGTCTACCTCGTGATGTCCAAGTCCATCCAAATTCTTGATTAACTTCTGTTCACCTTCAGCCTCTTTACCTTCCCCCCAGTGTCCTGGAGTCAGCCTCACCAAGCTCTGCAAAAATCCAGAATCAGCGTCAGAAACTCCCCTCAGAACCAAGTTTGGGGAGCTCACTTCTGAAAGTTTTGATTGCTTATATGTACATACCTGTAGCCAGTTAATAACTACCTCTTCCTCATAAATCAAAAGTCTCAGAAGAGCCATTTTGCCTGCAGGACTTAATTCTCATTCCTAGAGAATGGGTTGTGTTGACCATCCAGAGATTTGCAAGACCCCGACCAGGGAAATGCACCCTAAATGAACAGTGGCGTCTCTGAATCACTTGAGGTCAGTCCTTAGGCCAGGCAGTGAGAACAGATGGCCCTGGCCAGCCCAGGCCAGCAGCTGCACTGTACACAAGGGCAGGCCCTGTCGCCCCTGCTTTCCCTGCTGCTGGCAAAATGGATGTTTGGACGGTGGAGAGTGTGAGAACATCTGACCCCTTTACCCTCAGTCCTTTCTTAAACAGGCCTGAACCAGAGCACCCCACTAGAGCTCCCCTGCACATCTGGTTCTAAGAATTTGTTCATGTCCTCCTCAAGAAAACTAAGGCCATTTCCTATTCCCATGAGGATATAGGACTTAAATTTGAGAGAAAAAGATCAACAGAAATTTGTACCTGAATGTTCACAGCAGCATTATTCACAATAGCCAAAAGGTGGAACCAACCCAAGTGTCCATGAGCACACGAATGGATAAACAGAATGTGCTCCACGTGTACAGTGGAATGTCCTTTGACCCTAAGAAGGAAGGAAGCACTGACTCATGCTGCTGCAAGGATGAAACTTGAAAACATGTGAAGTGAAAGAAGGCAAACACATAAGTTCCCATAGGTGAGTCCATGTATGTGAAGTGTCCACAACAGACAAATCCATAGGAACAGAAAGGAGACTAGTGATGGCCAGGGGCTGGGGCAGGAGGAAGGGCAACTGTTGATGGGTACGGGGTTTCCTTTGTGCTGATGGACATGTTCTACAAGTAGATAGTGGTGGTTGTGCAACATTGTGAATGTATTTAGTCGACCTGAACTGTTCACTTTTAAATTGCTAATTTGCTAGGTGAATCTCACCTCCCTTTTAAAAAAAACCCAAACTGTGTAGCTTCCCATGGCCAGGCTGAGGATGCAGGATGACTGGGAGCACCTTTCCAGTGCTAGGCATGAGCTTTGTCCTCTTCATTTTCAAACCAGGGGTCACTGTACTGAAGCTCAAGAGCCCCCCAGTGAACAGCCTCAGCCTTGAGCTGCTGACAGAGTTAGTCATCAGTCTGGAGAAACTGGAGAATGACAAGACCTTCCAAGGCATCCTCCTGACTTCGATGGGTGCTCCGGAGCTCCCCCGGGGCCCAAGTCCTCTGATCCAAGTCCCAACTCAGAAACCATCCTACACACTTCACGTGGTGTTGAATATTTGGGCAGCCCCAGACACAGGTGCCACCACAAGAGGCCTCCAGGGGTCGCCTTGTAGCTCCAGGGGGACCTGGGCAGATGGTTCTCCAGCAGGAGACTGGTGACTCTGTCCCAGGCTGCTTCCCAGGCCCATGGGGTTGTGGGGTCAGGCCCTGGGGCAAGGCTCAGATTCCATACCCTGGGCCAGAACTTAGGTGAGGGCAGGTGACACTTTTGCAGGGATAACCTTGAGCCCACACTGCTTCAGGAAAGATGGACCCTGTGCAAACTTGGCAGCAGCTTCCTGGGGCACCCTTACTTCCCTAGGACTGCCCTGGGGTCTTCTCAGCTGGCCTGGACCTGACGGAGTTGTGTGGAAAGAACCCAGCCCACTACGCGGAGTTTTGGAAGGCTGTGCAGGAGATGTGGCTGCGACTCTACCTGTCTAACTTGGTGCTGATTGCCGCCATCAATGTGAGTGTCCCCTTCCCGAGGGGCCTGGATGACTCGCTCCTTAGGCTGAGGGGTGGGCGTGGCCCTGTCTTCAAGAAGCCTCTGGAGAGGAAAGAGGCAATCGGGGAGACTCTCAGAGGTGGACAGGTCGTTACAGACCAGGTTACTGGGGGGTGGGAGGTGCAGAGGGACCAGGGCCCATGGTCGACAGGGCCCAGCAAGAGGGATGTGGGGGGAAGGGGCGTGTGGGGGATCAGATCCACATTTTGGGAATGTGACTTTGGCCTAACCTGGGCAACGCAGGGGCAGGGCTCAGGCTCACAGAGGTGCGAGGAGGGCCTGCTCTGGGTGGAGAGGAGGGATGGCCAGAGGCAGGAAGACTCCCTGAGGTGCAGTGGCAGCTGACAGCAACCTGCCACTTCTCTTTGGGGCAGCAGAGTGCATGAGACAGGGCAGAGTGAGGTTGGGCTTCTGAGGACCTCCTGCTGGAGATGGCAGCAGGTCCTCAGTGGGGCACGACAAGAGGTAACAGCTCTGGCTAAATGCCTGCTTGGCGTTTGAGGGTACAGACAAGAGTTTTGAGTGGAAAGGCCGCTTGCTGCCCAGTTGTGAAGCTAAGAAAAGAGGGATGTTCCGCCCTGATAGCCAGCGACCCTGCCGGTGCCCTCAGCCCTCAGGCTGATGGGCAAGCCTGGGTCCCCATTGTGTGCACACCGCACCAAAGACTATATGAGTGCAGAACTCTAGGGTCTGGAGGCATCCCAAGAGCTCACATGCACTTGAAGGGCATTCCTCGGGCCCTAGGCTTTCTGGAACACGACTGGGACCAGCCGCAGCAGCACCTGGACCCGTTGATCTTGCTTCCCCTGAGGGAGCCTGCCCAGCCGGAGGCTGCCTCTATCTCTCACCTGCGATTACCGGGTGCTGGGTGACAACCCCAAGTACCTCATGGGGCTGAATGTGACCCTGCTGGGCATCATCATCCCCTTCTGGTATGGCCGGGGGCTGCACCCACATTCCACTTGTCCCTGGGGCTGTGCCCACTTCTCAGGGAGCCCCGAGCCCGTGGTAAGTGGGTGTCTCCATTCCAGGTTAAAAGACACCCTCATAAACACCATCGGGCACCGTGCCACCGAGCATGCCCTGCAGCTGGGGTTGCTCCTCCCACCGGCAGAGGCCCTCCAGGTGGGCATGGTGGACCAGGTGTACCTGAGGACCAAGTGCTGAGCACAGTGCTCTCGGCGATGGCCCAGTGGATGGCCATTCCAGGTGAGGAGCCCAGGGAGGGCCGACGGCTGTGGGTCAAGCAGAGCCCCTCCCATTCCCAGCTGGAAGCTCCTGCTGAGACAGAAAGTTCTCAGGTAATTCACAAATGAGCCTTTCACAGTAGCAGACTGTAGAGTTCTGAGGCCAAGGTAACAGATTATCACAAGACAGAGAGTTAGGATGGGGGTGCTTAAAACTACAGGAATGCAGGGGGAAGGGAATAGCTCAAAGTGGTAGAGTGCATGCCCTATGAGGTCCTGGGTTCAATTCCCCAGTACCGCCTCTTAAAAAACAAAAAAGTAAATAAATCAACCTAATTACCTCCCTCCCACACCTAAAAAAACAAACTACAGAAATGCATTCTCTCACAGTCTCTAGGCCAGAAGGCTAAAGTCAGAGTGCAGGCAGGGCCTTTCTCACTGCAGAGGCTCCAGGGGAGGCTTCTCCCTGCCTCTTCCAGCTTCTGGGGCCTCCTGGCTTTCCTTGGCTTGTGGCTGCATTGCTCCAAACCCTGTCTCTGTCTTCACGTTTCACATGCCCTCTGAGTGTCTCTATGTCTCAAATCTTCCTCTCCTTTTAAGGACACCTATCACTGGACCTAGACCCATTGCAAAGACCCTTTTCCTAATAAGGCCACTTGGACATATCATTTTGGGGTCCACTATTCAGTCTACAAACAGACAATTGGGAACAGCCTGGGTGTCTGTGTCTAGAAATAGGGCTGCTTGTATCAACCATCATGGAGACCAGGGGTGAGAAGACTGTTTATAAAGAGCCAGGGAGATTTGCAGCTCTATGGGTCACACCGTCTCCACCACAGCTGTGGCGCTGGAGCGTGAGGGAAGCCTCAGTGTACAGGAACTAACAAATGTGTCGGTGTTCCAATAAAGCCAGGCCACTGAATTCTGAATTTCATGTACTTGTCACATGTCACAAAATGTCACCCTAAGATTTTTTTTCATCTATATGAAAATGTAAAGACCATTCTTCCTTCTTGAGCCACAGGGGGCCATATTTGCCAATGCCTTACACAAATGATTGAATACCGTGCAGCCATTAATTATGTTGTAAAAGAATATTTAGCAACATGGAAAATATTCTCAACAATACAGATGAGTGAAAATAATAGGTTAAGAAGGCAGTTTTTACAGTATCATCCTGTATGTTTTTAAAACAAATCCATGGATTGTAGTGATACAGGAAAAATGGGGAGGGGGAGGATGGACATGTTCCAGGCAAGTCCCTGGGATGGACTCCCCTCAAGTGCTTGGCTTTGTGCAGGAAGGAATTAAAGAGTGAGCCGTAGTTGAGTAAAAGGTTTATTCAGAGAGATGCATACTCCATAGACCAAGTGCAGGCCATGTCAGAAAGCCAGAAAATCCATGAGGTGGAGGGTGGGGGGTGGAGTTTAGTTTAAAGTATAAGTAGATACACACTCCATAGACAGAGGGCATGCTGTCTCTGAAGGCAAGAGATACACATTCCACAGACAGAATGGGAGCCTTCTCAAAAGGCAAAAGAAAGGCCACGAGTTGCAGGGTTGTTAGTTTTTAATGGGCTCAGTAACTTCATATGTTAATAAGTGGGAGGGCTATTCCAACTACTTTGGAGAAGGAGCTGGGATTCCCAAGAATTGGGCCATCACCCACTTTTTGACCTTTTATGATAAACCTTGAAATTTTCATGGCGCCTATGGAAGTATCATTTAGCATGTTAATATATTACACTAAGCATATAATGATGCTCAAGGTCTACTGGGAGTTGACTCTTCCTCCATCTTGGTGCTAATTGCTGTGTAGTTCTTTTAATGGTTATGCCATGTGTCTCAGTAGGAAACAGATGATTTTCATTTTCTTCTCCTTCCTTACTCTGTATTTTCTAAGCTTTCTACCAGAGTTCCAACAGGAATTCTCTTGGCAGGGCTGGGAATGATGCCACTGTCCCAGATTGTGGGTCTTTACCCGGGGACCCCATTTTCCTTAGATCACACTCGACAGCTGACCAAGAACATGATGCAAAAGCCCACTGCAGACCGCCTGCTGAAGCAGCATGACACTGACATCCAGTACGTCGTCAGCATCATCTCCAGGGACTCCATCCATAAGTCCCTGAAGACCTACTTAGAAAAACTCAAGCAAATAAAAGGCTAAGGGCTGGGCTGCCCACGCAGGGCTCTTAGCTGTATGCCCTCTCCTGTGGTTCCAAGGGATTTTAAATAAGGTATTTTCCATTTTGGTCGCTCTCTTGTCTTGTCTTCTGAGACGGCCCGCACTCTGTCTACGGAGCGTGTATCTACCTTTACTTTAAACTAGACACCCTCACACCTCTCGGTCTCTCTCCCTCTCACCTTTCTGAGATGGCCCGCATTCTGCCGATGGAGTTTGTATCTCCTAAGCTGCTTTCCCTTCTGAGTGAGACAGACCCCACTCTGCCCATGGAGTGTGTATCTCTAAATAAACTTTCTTTCACTTAAAAAAAAAAGGTATTTTCCATTTAAAAGTACTTTCAGCTCTTTGTTTTGCTGATCTTCCAAGAAGGCCCAGTGCCTCGTAGCCATAGTCCCAAAACACGCCACCACCCACGAGTGCCTTTTGTGCCTGGCAGGTGGGCAGAGGGGCACAACTGGCAAGCAGTGTCTCGATCTGGGAATCATAACCTGACAAGTGGGGCCATTCTCGACCTCAACAATGTCACCCCTGAGTGTCTCCTTTGCCAAAGCAGAATAAAGTTCTCGGCTGGTGGGATGCCTGATTGCTAGAGGCATAAGGCCAGGCAGTTGTGGGCCCTAACAAGCCACACATGACCCCCACCCACACCCCCGACACAGGGAAAAGCCCTTGGGCAGCCATGTTTGGTGTGTTTGGATGGAAGGCATGTACAAATTTCAGAGGAACTGAGGTGAGGGAGGCATTCCTTGTGAAGCATTTTACATTACAAGCGTCCTAAATCTTATTTTAGAAAGAGCTAGCAAGAGAAGCTTGTCTAAACTCTTGAAACAAAAGTTTTCCTCTCCCGTACAATTCAGATCGGCTCTCAAATCCTGCCGAAGTCGAGATGCTTTGAAAACCAGAAACCTCATGGGGCTTCTGTCAGTTACACTGTGTACCCCAGCTCTGCTTATTCCCAATCCTCAGGTGTTGGGCTTACCCAAGGAAGAGGCCACTGTTCTCCCTGATAAGTCCTTGCCTTGCCCAGGGCTCCTGAGGAGGAACCTACCAGGGAGGCACCTTTGAAGGGGCTGAACCACTGTGCGCTGTTTGGGTTCTATGGGCAGGACCTTAACCCAATCCACCTGCTCACCACTAAGGGGGCTCTCCAAATGTCCCTGGGCTGCTGACCAGCTGAGGGCAGGGGCCAGCCTTCCTGACCTCCCCAAGGACTGCAGCGCTGGGTGTGGCAGGACCCTGACATAAACAAGTGCCTGAAGGGTCCTGCAGGCCTGGGAATTGGGGCTATAGGGGGAACAGCAGGGCCTGGAGGTTGGCTTTGTACATCAACCCTACATGTGTGAGAGTGTGTGAGCACTTATCCCCTGCTGCCCTCACTACAATTTTTTTTTAAGCAAATGAGCCTGGCTGAGAGCCAATCAACTTTATTAACGGACACCAAAATTTGAATTTCATATAATTTTCATATGTCACGAAATAGGAGTCTCCTTTGGATTTTTTTTTTAACTGTTTAACAGTGTAAAAGATCACTCCTGGCTCACAGGCCATACAGAAGCAGGTGGTGGGCTGCATTTCGTCTGTGGGCAATAATTTCCCAACACACACACACACCCCTACCATCTAAACATATACTGTCTGGACACTTACTTCTTGCTGGCAATTATGTAACATCTACTTCATTATTAAGTGAGGATGATAATACAAAATTTGCTTAAGGCTTCATTTAAACTGCTGGTTTAGTACAAGTTCTTGAAAGCAGTTTGCAGAAATAAAGAACAACCAGTGAGCACACGAGCTGCCTTCTGGAGCCAGCCTGGTCTGGAGTTGGCTGTACCCAGCAGGATGTGGAATGGACAGGGCTGGCTGTCCCTGTCCTCTAAGGGGGCTGGGACCAGAGACCCACTGAACTGCAGGACCAAGGTTTGTGCCCCAGAAGGGCTGAGTCCTAAGAAATGACATGAGGCATCGGAGCTGACAGGTGTGTGGTCTTGGCTGAGTATTTATTGAGCTCAGCTGTGTCCCCAGCACTCTACAAGGTGCTTCTCACAACCCTATGAGGTAGGTGGTGCAGCCCATTTCATAGATGGGGAAAGAGGTTCCAAGTGGTCACATCACTTTTCCAGGCCCTGCTGACCCTGCCCTTCAGCCTTGCTGGGGTTGGCTAGCCACCCTGAAGGAACTCTTGTCAGACAGTTGCTTGTGGCCAGAGTCTGCAGGCGTCGTGCTCTGGCCAGGCCTCAGAGCTGTCAGTGGGACTTGAAGGTCACCTCCACAGGAAAATGGTCACTGATAGCAAGGGCCTGGAGGGAGGAGGAGCCAAGCCTCAGAGGCTGTGCTGAGCAGCCTGTCCCCTCTCACGCTTCACCCTAGAAAACTGCCTCAACTCGGGATGGAGCCCAGTGGGTATCCACAAACCACTGGATGGGGGCGGAGGGGAAAGCTGGTGAGGACTGGACTGTCCACTCTAGCTGTTACCTGTAGGTGGGTTGGGAGTACAACTGGGGACCCTACTTCGGAGAGACAAAGAGCTTCCTACAGCGCCATCCCAGGTTTGTTCCATTCAGCCAGAACTGAACCACTGACGGTCTTTTCTAGAAACGCTAGTGCAGGGAGGGGTGCGCAGGGTGCACTGAGGTTGGGCCCAGCCGCGGCCTTGGGACCCCAGGACCCTGTGCTCCCCTCACCCCTGCCGGACCCAGCCAGCACTCACCTGAGCCTGGTCCAGGCCAAATTCTTCCTGAAAGTCGTGGACAGCAGCCGACATGGGCTTCAGGCTACTGCGCAGGTGGGCGCCACAGAGCACGATGCGATCGTAGGCACAGTCTGAGTTGCCCACCGTGGTGTCGGCGCTGTCGGGGATGAGCCACTTGAAGACTTCGCTGCTGCGCAGGCGGATGACCGCCCAGTCCTGAGCCCGCACGTATTTGCAGTCAGCGTTAAAATCGCCCAGAAACAGCATGTCCTGCGGGGGACCACAGAGCAGGGCCTGAGCCTGCTGGAGGGGCGGGCCAATCGCCAGCGCGCGCCTTCGGGAACCCGGGACCCTGGAGGCAGGGCGGGGCCATGCGGCCGCAGGGGCTTACGTCGTTGCCCCACTTGTCGATCACGTCCAGGTACACGTCGTAGAGCGCGTCAATCTCGGCCACGGCCTGGTGCGGTGCGGCATGCAGCGGAATCAGCACCAACTTCTTGGCAGCTGCGGGAGTATGTGGGCGTCAGGGGTTGGGGCGGGGCCCGCGGGGGGGCGGGGCCAGCATGGGTCGGTGCCTCACCAGAGCCAGGTGCTGAGAACTTGACCACGAAAGGTTCACGACTGAAGGCATCCTCCGGGTCCGGGTACTGGTACGTCTCCACGACCGACACCGCGTCCTTCCTGGGGGCAGAGGGTGGGTGAGGTCGCTGAGCGGCCCCCGGTGCCCCGCGCGCCCCACCCCCGCGGCCCCGCCCCTCACCTGTAGACGAACAGGTACATTTCCTTGTACTGGTCCCGACCCAAGGGCTCGCTGCTCACGAAGTTGTACTCATGTTTGGACACGCTGCGGAGATACCGTCGAGACCCGGAGTCAGGGCATCGCGCCGAGACCTGGGATCCTGTCCTGGGCTCCCAACGCAGGGCCCTACCCACCACACCTGTTGATCTGCTCCATGAGCGCGTACACGGCGCTCAGGTCGGGGTCTCGCACCTCCTGCACGAGCATAACGTCATAGCCAGCCAGGATCTAGGGGAGGGGCCGGCAGGTGCGGGGTCACTCAAGGAAGATTCGCCCCAGAGCCCAGCTGCGACCCCGCCCAGGGTCCCCGGCCTCACTTGAGAGATGACGCTGCCGCAGGCTGGGTCTGACACTTTGCTGTCGCCGAAGCTCTGGATATTGAAAGCTCCGATGCGCAGCGCCGCAACTCCAGAGGCCCTCAGCGCCCAGAGCGCTGTCAGTAAGGCCAGGGGCCCGCTGTCCATGGTACAGAGTGGGCCAGCTTAGGACAGACACAGCCCGCTTGAGCGCAGATTTGGAGTTGGACACATCAGCCCACTCCTCTCTGACCCAGCTGCGGGGGCTCAGGGGAATGGGGGACTGGACAGGTTCTGCCACCCATTGCTGGCTGGTACGAGGGCACATCCTTCCCGTGCTGCTCTCCAGTCTCCCCAGGGTGATAGGCTTGGCTCTCCGCCTATGACCATCCTACTCCATGGGAAAACTGAGGCCCAAATATTAAGACCCCATTCCCATCTAGCCCCCCCAACCCAGCTCAGCCCCACCCCCAGACTCACCTGAGGGATGTGGATAGGCCTGTCAGAGGCTCAGGATCTGGGTCCCAGTGAAGATCTGAGGTCCAGGCTGAGAGTGAACAGACTTCAAGGGCTCGGTCCAGCAGCAGCGCTGGCACCCCAACTTGGTGGTAATTTGAAGCCCTGGTCCAGGGAGGAGCCAGACTGTGCTGGGTCCCGCCCCCTCCACTAATTTGGACACTGTAAGTCCCAGCTCCCATTTCCAGGGAGACCCCACCCCCACCCCTACCCTCACCCCAGGACAAGGCAGCAGGACATCCACCCTGAGACTGCTCTGCTGCCCCCATGCCTGTCAGAACAGACTCAGAAGGCCCTGTCTGCCCACAAGCTGCATCAGGACTGGGAAAGAGGACCAACCAGCCATGCCCATGGTCCAGGCCTTGCTCTCATCCCGCCCTGGAGAAACTAGGTCACCCAGAATCTCCCTCCTCAAGCTGCACCCCCTCAGGGAAACAAGGCAGCACAGGCAGGAAAGACCAGCCCCATACCTCCTGCCCCATATCTCCTACCCATCCCCTCAGGGTAAAAAGCCAAGGCTCCTGGTTGTCCAGCCTCATTCCTCAGCCCCAGCGCAGCCCCAGGGTTGGAGGCTGAGAAGCAGCACCCCCTCCCCCCTACCTCGGCAGGACTCAAGGAGGTTGGGGTCACAGCTCCAGCTGGGCAGGGCAGTGGCAGGAGGCTGCCTGTCCACATGCCAATGACACCCACGCACCGCCAAGGTGCCGCCAGCCCCGTGGGCAGCCCTGGGTGGGGTGACAGACACTAGAGTATAGAGTGGCCTGGGCATGCAGTGGCTGCCAGAGGGGAACCTGCCAGGGCAGTGGCACCAGCCCCCAAGGCTGCCACTGCCGCAACATCACAAGCGGCGGGTTTCCATGTTTTATTGTAAAGCAACCAAAAACTCTGTATTTACACTCTCACATCTCCTCTAAACACCTTAAGTCTGTGCCCCATCTTCTCTGTACTCAGCCAGGCAGGTGTGGGCAGGGCACTCAGGGTCCTCGCGCCCTGCCTCAGCCCAGCCCACTGGGACCCTGCAGGCACCCATGCTAGACGATGACTGTCTGCACCTCGAGCTGGCCCTCCGGCGAGGCGATGACCAGCTCGCCTGCATGCTCCAGGATCTCAATGTCCTCCGATGAAACCATGGTCACAGTGGCCTGCTCGGCACCATTTGTGCCCGAGCGGGCTGTGAGCACAGTGCCTTCACTGATGGCCGAGGCCAGTGTCATGGCCACCTGCTCTGTCAGGCTCTCAGGGGTGGCAATGGTGATGGTGTCCGCAGCAGCTGCCTCTGGGCCCAGCTCCGCCTCCTGGTCCATGGTCACGTTCTGCACAATAATCTGGTGCCCGGCGCTGGCCTGGTGCACGATCTGCTGCACCACCTTCATGATGTGGCTGTCTACCTGCGGGGGGCTCATGGTTCAGCCTATGAGTCTGGGTGAGGGTGCAGGCCGCCACTCCCCACCCTTCCCCGAGCCCCTCACCTCTGTCTGGGTGCCCTCGATGATCTCTGTGGCTTCACTGGTCTCTGCGTCATCCGCGGTGGCCTGGATGGAGCATCGGAGGTCAGCCTTGCCCGCCCCTGGGCCCCAACCCAGCCCCAGCGGCCCCACACCCACCTCAATGATGTACTCCTGGGTGTCGGCCACCACAGATGAGAACTCAACCAACACAGTGTGTGGGTCTTCTGCAAGGACGGTGGCGGCTGCCGCGGGGCTCTCCTCAGACACCAGCAACTCCTCTACCTCCAGCAGGCAGCCCCCTGCAGTGAGGACAGCCACAGCCCCCCTCGGTCAGGGCTGGCCGACTGCAGCCCCTCGCCCTTCTCGCTGCCCCACTCTGGCCCCAACCTTTGGTGCGCAGGTGCCGGTTAAGGGTACCGTGCTCCGCAAAGCCACGGCCACACTTGTAGCACTTGAAGGGCTTCTCGCCCGTGTGGTGCCGCACGTGCCGCACCAGTGAGCCTTTCTCCCGGAAGCCTCGGCTGCAGAATGGGCACACATGCGGCTTCTCCTCCAGGTGGGTCCGGAAGTGCACCTGCTGGGCATTCTGTGGAGACCCACTGTCAATGCCAACCTGGCCTCGGCCATAGCTCAGAACTCGGCTTTCCCAGCCCACCTCTGGGACCGAGGGAGGGGGTCCATGGGCCAGGGGTGAGGGCCCAGGCCAAGACTGAGAAGGCTGGGGGTGAGAGGGGGATGAGGGAGGTCTGGGGCAGGAAACAAGACAAGTATGGCTCAGGGAGTGAAGAGCCCACAAATTTGGGATGGGGGGTGGGGGTGGCAGGAGTCAGGTGCCAGGGTCGAGAGGCCCACCTTGGTCTTGTAACGCTTGCCACACTCGGGACAAGGATAGGGCCTCTCATCCGAGTGGACACGCCGGTGGCCACGGACGTGGGCGATGGTCTTATAGAGCTTCCCACAGTCCCCACAGCGGAAGCGGCGCTCGTGCACGTGCACCTCCTGGTGCTTCTTGAGCAGGTAGGCCTTGGGGAAGGCCTTGCCACACTGCATGCACGTGAACGGCCTCGGGCCTGGGGCCACACTTGATATCAGGCCAGGTCCACTACTCAAGGGCCTGACCCCAGCCGCCCGCCACCTGCCCACAGACCACCCTGACTGCACACCCAAGGGCACCTCCTGGCTACCCACAGGCCATCCACTGCCTGGTGCCCCACCATCCTGCCTCCCACCTGCATGGCCCCTCTTGTGGGCCTCCAGGGTAGCCGCCGTTGGGAAGGTCTCACTGCACTGAGGGCATGGGTGGGTCCTGGGCACAGCTGAGGTCTCACTGGCCACCTGCTGGGAGAGCAAAGCATGCCTCCAGTGCCCGCTGTAGGCTGGGCCCCAGCAGTACCAAGGACAGACCTGAGGCACCCCCACCCTGGTAGGCTCCATCATGGGCCCCAGGAAGGCAGTAAACAGATCAGGGAACAAAATCAATGCAGAAAGTGATGCAACTTTCTACCACAGGGAGCAGGGAGCACAAGGAGGCAGGTGACAGCCAGGCCAGCATGGTGACTCCATACCCAAGGTCCAGCCGCCCAGAAGGAGCACACTGGCAGGGCAGGCACCTACTGTCTCCACTTGCTCCACCTCCAGCAGCGGCAGTTCTGGGGGACTGTCTCCCAGGGGCTGGGGGCTGGCTGCAGTGGGAGGGCCTGGCTCCAGGGCTCCCTCCTCCCCAGCAACCCGCTCAAGGACGATGCCAGAGTTCTGCATGGCCTGGTGCAGCAGGTTCTCACGGCTGCCCTCACTGGAACAAGGAAGCTCCTCAGGGCCAGGGGGCTGCAGGGGAGGCAGATGGAAGGGGCTGGCCAGGCAGCCCAACACACAGCACCCACCTGCCACCACTGCACAGGGTGGCCCCAAGTGGCCCTGGGGGCCACTGTCCACACCCAGCATCTTCACTCAGGAATACCCCTGGGAACCCCACAGCCCACTCCACCTGCCCTCGCCTCCCCACCTCATCCCCAGCTCAGTCTCCCTCACCCCTCCCTGCCCTCTAACATACCAAGGGTCTACCATCTCCCCTGCAACCAGACTGGGTGCCAGGAAGGCAGGCCCAGGTCAGTCCTAGTCCCACTGGAGCCAGTGCCCAGAACCATGCCCAGTGCTGAGCAGACAAAGGCCGCCCCCTGACCTGCCCCCACCTCCGGGGCGAGAGCTTTCATGCCCAGGGGAAGCTCTTGCATCTGGACATGGACTTCGTGGATAACAGTGCCCTTGGCATCTGTCACCAGGTGAATCACCGGCGACGTCTCCATGGGCTCGCCTGTCACTGATGATGATGTAACAGTCCCCATGGTGGAGGTGCCAGACCCTTTAAGGCAGAACCGAGAAAGTCCTTGAAGAAACACCCAACCAAGGTGGCACCCGGAGAGCAGCCAGGGCCAGGGCAGGGAGCCTTCTACCATGCTGACCTGCAGAAGCGTCCTCTTTGCTGACAACCACATCTTTGCTCATGCTGAAGCGGATTTTTTCCGTGCACGGGGTGAGAGACTTGAGGTGCCGGGTCAGCGCACCCGACTCCCGGAAGCTCTTCCCACACTTGGCGCACTTATAGGGGCGCTCGTCTGCGGAGAGAACAGAGTCAGTCTCGGGTGGGGACAATGGCCTGGCACCAAGGGGAAGTCAGGCCTTGAGCCACAGCCCCACCAGCACCAGGAGCCAGGCCCCCCCCGAGGACCACCAGCAGTGTGCCATGCACTCCTGGCCCCAAGGCCACTCACCTGTGTGCCGCCGGTGGTGCCGGATGAGTGAGCCCTTGGTCCGGAAGGAGGCCCCACACAGTTTGCACTCATGGTCCTTGCGGCTGCTGTGAGTGACCATGTGGGCCTTGAGGATGCTGCCCTATGGGGAGGGGCAGTGAGGTTCAGGCATCTCCCTGGGCAGAACTGGCAAGGAGGCCTGGCCCCCAAGCAGGCACAGCTCCAAGCACACCAGGTTGTGGACTGGTCGGCCCAAGGCCCGGGGGCTCACCGTCTTGAAGGTCTTGTGGCACAGTGTGCACACGTAGCGGCCGTCCTTGTTCACCAGCAGCTTGACCTGGGCCTGCTCGCCCTCCCCAGCGGGCCCGGGACCCTGATGGCTAGGGCTGCCCGGGGCCTCTGCCATCTCGCTGTCCCCTGGCTCTGCCTCAGCGGCCACAATGACCTCTTTGATGTGTCCGCCACCTGAGGAGAGGCGGATCAGCCTGAGCCTCGGGTCGCCATGGGCCCTGCCACCTCCTGGGATCCCAGTCCAAGGACACTGCCGAGGTGCGGCAGAGCTATACTGACCAAGGCCCGGGTCATGGTACCCACTCAGCCTGAACAGGTGGGAGGCACTCCCCTCCAACTCTGTGGAGCTGCCCAGAGGAGCTCCAGGCCTCCAGAATGTGTACATTAGTGAGATGCACCATGGACACAGATGCCCCCTCCCCTAAGTCAAGAGGAGCACACGGGGGTCCTGCCATCTCCAAGGGCAGCACAATGCTGGCGTGGAGGCAGTGGACAGGCCAGCTCACGGCCGTCTGCCCTACTTGCTGCCCCGGCTCCTGCTGACAAAAGGGGGAAAAGGCTTCAGGTGTCCCCTACGTGCATCAGTTCCAAGGCAGGCAGGCGAGGGCCCCGGCCTGCAAGAGGGAACACTCTCCACATGCCTGGGACACCCTGAGGAAGGAAGCTGGGCTTTTGCAGTTCTCATGGGTGTTAAAGAAATCTGACAATGTGCGAAGCCAAGCTGAAAACACACTTTGCATTTTCTGTTCAAAAAAAATGACGTGTGGGAAACGGTTGTGAAGCTGCTTCTTAGAAACCATCTCAGTCAGGCTGGCGTTGTGTTTTGACAAGCCATTCTCTCCAAACTGAATGGAAGCACGGTGACTAAGAATTAAGGGCATACCTGTCATGCCCTGGCTGATGCGCCTGAAGCTTTATTTTCCCTCCGCCCCGAATGCGAACTTCCAAAAAAACAGGGATTTCTGCCAGGCTCGGACTTGAGTTTGAGTGTGAGGGGTCAGGGAAGGGGGGAGCATGGCTGCCCTGAGTCCAGAGATGAAGTGTAAGTTTATTTCCAGGGATGGGAAGAGGCAGGAGGGCCTGAAATAGGTATCCAGCCCCTATGCAGTCGCTGCAAACTGTGCCCTCAGTCCAGTGAGGAGTGAGGGCCCCCGAGCCATGGGATGCTGGCAGCTGGTGGTTTAGGACTCTGGCCAACCCTAGGCTCCAGATCACTGAGCAGCTGACACCACGGGGACATGTGGGGCACCTAGGATGCCTGCAAAGGGGAAACTCCCAAGGTGCAAGAGAAGCAGGGGGTGCCCAGAGAGGAGCCCCTAGAGCACAAGGAGCAGCCCAGGCTTGGGCGTGGGCCAGCTGGAGGCCGGATGGCTGGAAGGGCCCGGCTACCCAGGAGGCCAGAGCCTGGAGATGCTGTCTGAACCCAGGGAATGTGTTTTCCCATATGACACCACCCACACCAGAAACTACCACACCAGGGCTGGAGCATGGCCCCACCTCCCACAAGACAATATTCCTATACCAGAGTGGCAACAGTCAACTGTCCTTGTCCGCAGGAATGTCAGGGGAAAGACAGTGGGAGAGAGGGACAGCTGTCCTGCTGCCTCCCTGAGGTGGGACTTCGGCAGAACAACCTGCTCTGAGGTTTCCCTCCCTCGAGGTCTCCTCCACCCTTTCTTCCTGCCCAGCTGGTCCCAAGTGTATCCCAAGGTCAAGTTCTACCTGTTGCCCAAACCTGCTTCCTGTCCAGCTGCTTACTCTCACGCCTGTCCAGGCCCTTGCCCATTCCCTTCCCAGCCTCCCACAGCATCATCCCTCCACTGCCATGCTCACACCCAGACCCCGCTCCCTCGAGCTACCCTTTGAATGTCCCAGATGCACGCTCACCAGTCCCCTATTAACGAATACTGACCCAACCCAGACCTCTCAACACCTCCTCCCCTACAGCACATGAGTGAAGCACTTTAAAAGAGCCATCAAAGAGCCTGACTTGGCGTTGTATGCTCTTAAAAGCCACGTGAGAATCAGGTGAGGAATCATCACCCCTACGCCAGAAGGAGTGAGCACTGGGGAGGTGAAGGCCAAGGTCAGGGGTGAGATGGAGCAGCAGGTATAGCCCACGCATACCTCAACCAACCCTCCAGAGCTGACTATGGCAGGAGGAGGGGAGGAGGCAGAAAAAAGGGGAAGATTCTCGAAGAACCAGGGCAGAAACAGTCTGGCAAAGCTGCAGGAGAGAGCAGCCAGCTCCTGATCACATACAAAGTGAAGACTCCCTGAGGCCCAGGCTCTGGGCTCTCCCTTTCCTAGCAGGGCAGGACCTGGTGCCCTATGCTTGCTCTTCCCTCAGGCCCTGTCCCGGGGAAGGTGTACAAAAGGCCTCAGCCCCTCCCTGGCCAGGCCTTGCTCTTGGGAGAAGAGGGATATGGGCAGCAGAGGTTCCCAACCTCTAGCCTTGACCAGGGACAGCTACCAGGTCAGAGATGCCTCAACATGAACAGCCACAGTGAGGCCAAGCCAGCTTACCGACAATGTCAGGTGTGTGGTTGATGTCGGCCGTTAGAGCAGCAGCCTCCACCACAATGTGGGCCACGGTGATGGGTTCCTCTGGGCCTGCTGCTGCTGGCACCACCTACCAATGGGGGACGGGACAGAGAAGACTCGTTTGCAGGGCTCCAAAGCTCCTTTGGCTTGGAGGACGCAGGCTTGGGTTTATGTCCAGGTGGACAGCTGGTTGGGGGCTCTCATCTCCCACAATGGAACACCACTCTGAGTCTGACTCCCAGCCTGCACCCTTCCACTCAGGCCTGAGGGTCAGCCCCATCATTCTAATGCCTCTGGCCACCAAGAACCCCATGTGGAGCCCTGATCACCCTCAAGGAGGACTCCAGGACGAAGTGACCAGAAGCTCCAGTATGAAGCTCAGCTGGCTCTGCAGAGAGGAAAGTGAGTACCTACACCCACCAGCCCCAGCCAGGGGGTCAGGGGAAAGGGCCCCAGGGATGTGGGGCCCGGGGCCTTCCTGGAGGAGAGGACACGCCTGGGAAGGGCAGGAAAAGAGCACAGGGTCAGAGTGAGACAACTCTGGGCCCACTGTCCTCTGGACCACTCCCGGGGGTGACCTGAGGCAACCAACTTCTCTCAGAGTCTCCTTTCCCACTTTCATATGATGAGGATGATGAGCGTATCCAGACCTTGGGGATGCTATGGACTCAATAAGACTGTGTGTGCACAGCCCCGGGCCCATGGGGCACAACCAAGTTGGCCATTTGTGTGACAGGGTGCAGGGACCCATAGAGCCACACTTTGTGGAATCCCCAGGAACTGTATATACAGGACAGGAGACAAGACAAAAGGACAAAAGCCACCACAGTACTCCTGAACCAAGACAGGTCCTTGGGCTCCAAGAAAGGAGCGACCCCAGGCCCCTAGGCTTCAGCCAGAGGCTGCTAAGAAGACCAGCCATCCCAGGCCATCCAGGAAACCCCAGAGTACCGCCAGGAGTTCCCCAACCCATATATGGATGCCTGCCCTCTGCCCGCCCCATGTCAGAGGGACCCAGCTGGACAGGTCTAGGCCAGCACGTCACCTCCTTCTCCTCCTCCTGCTGTCTGGTGAGCCCAGGGAGCAGGGCACTCAGCGGTGTGCGCATGCACATGTGCAATGGCAGGGTAGGGGGGGCCTCACCTCCTGGCCCAGCAGTGCCGCAGCAGCAGGGGTGGCAGGCAGGGCTTCCTGAGGGACCCGCTGGCAGACCTTTTGGAGCTTGTGCTGAACAAAGTCCTCCAAGGTGGTGAACTCCGCCTGGCAGCGGCCGCATCTGTGTACATCATCCTCATCTGCAATGAGCCTGCATCAGTGGGGCCTGAGGGAGACTCCAGATCCAGCCAAATCCACCCAAGGGTGGAATGAGAACCAGAGGCACCTTGCCCAGCCCTCCCAAAGGGGCTGAGAACACTCTGAGAAAATCCCCTGGAGGTCTGCTGAAGCAGTGCCCACCTCGGGGAGAGCACCATCCAGCGGGGTGTGGTCCTGACCAGACACTTAAGACTGCAGGGATCTAAAGCCCCTACTTCAGAAACGAGGGGAGAGAGAGGCCCAGGGAGTAGCTAGGAGGCAGAGAGATTCACCCAAGCCCGTCTGGGGCAGTGGAGGATTAGGGTTTAAGACTATTGGGGTTTGCATGTGATCCTGGGCACTTCAGTGACCATGTCTGGATCCGTTTTCTCATCTGTAAAATGGGCCGACTCAGTATATGTGTGCGCAGGGCACAAGGGGGTTAGTGGGCTGCTTCTCACAGGGCTCTAGCTGGAAGGCCAGCCCTCGGCAAACGGGGAGGTGGGGCACCCTGACCCATGACCACTCTGTTTTCACTCTGACTTGGTGCTCCACTGGTTTCAAACAGGCAGAATCTCCCTACTCTGGTGAAGTTGCCCAAGGTGGAACTTGCCAGAGGGGCTCCACACCTCAGGGCCACCACAGCTGAGCCTCTCAACCATCTGGGCCAACTAGCCATTGCTTGCCCCAGGTCCTGCAGGAGAGACTTCCTGCTCACTGAGTCCCCTACTGTGTGCCAGCCACCTCACTGGGGACATCACCAAATCTGCTAGCACCCTGAAGAAATGGAAATGACTATTCCTACTCTAGAAAACGACTTGAGATTCAAGGCCACCAAGATGGTAAGTGTTGAGGCCAGAACCTAAACCTGAGGGTCTACTCCAGACACCCTACCATTCTCACCAAGAGATGGGGGATGTTCCTTCTGCTTTCTTAGAAGACTGTCAGCTCCCACTACCTCACATGCAGTCCCACATCAAGGTCAAACCCAGGCTTAGAGTCTAGAAGGAGCTCAGTCAATGGCTATTGAATTAATGATAAAAAGGCCAAATGGCATCCATGACTCACGCACAGGAGGCCACCTGACAAAGGGCAGTCACCTCCAGATGGCTGACAGTCACAAGCCAAGCACTCAGGTGCCTGCTACCCTCCTCCCATCCCACTCACCGAGTCTGACTCAGCACCAACACGTTGCCATTGAAGGAATCCCCACCACAGAAGGGGACAGGCCCAGCCTATGTAACCCTGAGATAAAGCCATGGCAAACCTTATCTGGGCACAGCAACCTCAAAAAGGACCCCTCTCCAGGTTGGCACTGCCCTCTGTGGTACTGCCCCTCCCCAAGTTGGAATAAGGAGCAAGAAAAAATGCACTGAGAACACAAATTCTGTAAGGACAAAGACCACCTCCCTGATATCATCAGCCAACTCCCCCTGCCTGGTCCAGTCTACAACCTCATGGGACAAGTTCTGAGGGCAGAGACAAGAGTTCTGTCTTCAAAAGCTATCAGTGCCCCTGTGAATGAGCCCTTGATATGTCACCAGCACTGTTCTCAGAGATTTACATACATACTCTCTTTTGATTCTCACCACCATCCTATGAGGCAACAGAACCCAGAAGTTAAGGGAGTGAGTTGAGTAGTCCCACAATCCTGGCACCCAGCTAGTCCTTGACACTTACTAGCTGGATGACCTGGTCACTTTCACATCTTTGAACCTCAATTTTCCTCATGGGAACAATAATAACAAATAATAATAAATGGGAGTAATAATAACAATGATAATAATGGCATCCAGGGTTGGCTGGAGAATGAAAAAAGCTGATGCATGGGAAATGCTCCATACTGTATCGTCAACAGCAGCATCCCCATTCTGTAAGGGAACATGGAGGCTCAGGGAGGTGTGTGGTCACCTGCCCAGGACTGACTAGCTAGAAAGTGTCTGGTCTGGGACAGAGCTGGCTGCAGCTTTCCAGTACTGGGCTCTGCTTCCTCCCCAAGGGTCCTGAAAAAGACCCGAGGCCCCGCCCTCCCAGAGCCTCCAGCCACACCCCAGCCAGGGCCCTAGTGGCCCGACAGGTGCAGTGGGAGGGGGCCCGGTGGAGGGCAGGGCCCTGCCCTGACAGGGCGGCCGAGAGGGGCCGGGTCGTGAGTCTGAGGGCAGGGCTGGCGGTGGAGGCGTCCGCGGAGGTCTACACGGACAGCCCCGGTGGCTTGGAGAGCCGTAAGTATCCGTGTGTGGGCACTGGCGTCCACGGGGGTGATGGGCGCCAGGCAGGAGAGGCCCGAGAGTCTGAGGAAACCGGGAGGCTCGTGGAAGGCTATGAGACCCGTGAGGTCCGCAAGGAACCGGG